CTCTCTCTCTCTCTCTCTCTCTCTCTCTCTCTCTCACACACACACACACATGCACATTCCATAGTGCAGCCCCCCCCAAGAAAAATACCCAAAGACACATACACAAATATGCAAAACAATGCAAAACTACACAAATGCACAAGCTACACAGGATAGGAAACCCAGGTGTGCCTATATAAAGACACGGATGCCATATTTTCAAGGACACACTGACACTCACAAACAAACCTATGACCCTATTTTACCTATAAGAGAAGGGCCATGATTACAAGCAAAAACACACAAGTCTAAACACTTTCTAATAGAAGCTGAGGTTCTCGGTCCAGCCGCCCTGGTAGCTGCGCCTCCCTTCGCTTCTATAAGATTACAAAGATTAAACTGTTGGTAGCCAACTTCCTATATGTGCCTGTAAAACAAGAGGGCTCAGCTTTAAATAATGATGTCACAGAAATGACAACTGTGCTCTTTGCCAGAACAGGGATGAATAATTACAAAGCCAGGACATAATAAGCAATTCTAACTGTTGGATTCTTGTGCTCTCTCTCTCTGACGTGCAGGGACGGCATGCCCGCCATGCATGCCCTCCTGGACAGGTCTCTGCACTGAGTTGATCTACATTTCCCGGAGCAGAGAGCGGGGGTCACGGTCTGGTCACTGCAGAATCCGTTCTTTGCGGTCTACCACCTCCTAGGCGTCCAGCTTGGTGCTCTCTGCATTGACAGAGGCATGATCCGATGGCCAATATTTGACAGAGATATATATTTTCTTTAAAATTTTGGGAAATGAGCGAAGCCTAGCCATTGTAGGTCCATTCACTAAACACACACACACAGAGCCTAGAAGAGCCACTGCAACGTTAGCTGTCACTTCCTAATGAATGACAGCATCGTTCTGTACAATCAGATCTCAGACAGAAGGCAGCTTTTAAACAACAAAAGCCAAAAGGCAGCCACGAAGGAGAAATGTGTCATCGTGAGAGGGAGCGAGAGCCAACTCCGCACTTCAAGTGCTGGGGCCTGCCAGGTACCAGATCAAACTCTTGTGACTTAGGGGGTTTATGAGTTACTGGATGATTCTGCATTTGCGTCAGCCGAGAACACCCAGACTGCCAGTTCCCTACCTCCAAGGCAAGGGCTGTGACTGGAGAGGCATTTTCCATTCTCCCAAATACTTTATGTCAGGAATAAAATGAGAACAGCTCCCCAAATCACGGCCCCCTTGATCATCCATCAGCGCATTCTGCCAAGTAAGCAAAACAGGACGCCATTGCCTCAGAAAGGACAGAAGCCAACTTGAGATTCCGAGTCCGTGATGAAAAATAGGTCTTCACCAAGTGTGCTCAGCACAGCGTCGGCAATTCATGGAGAGGAAATTGCTCTCCACTTAGGAGCTGACTCTGGGTGTACACAAACCTCCTAGTACGTATATATATATATATATATATATATATATATATATACACACACACATATACACACACACACAGAGATGGAAAGCGTATATACACACCTGCAAGGAACAAACATATGTCTGTACATACTGCGAGCAGGCGAGAACCAGCCTTTTTAATCCCAATTTATTAACTTGGCAAGGAGCTCATTTGGCCTCTTTCTATCTGCAAGAAAAGTACCAGCACATTGCCCAGCAAACAGCAGACAGAACGGAATTGCCTGCCATTCATGAGAGGCATACAGCTTGATATGAAACCAGAACACAGAGGAATCCTCCAGTGCACTTAAAGGATCACAGTGTAAAAAGAACACTTCACTGGGAGCCCAGATGGTCTGGGTTCTGGTCCCAGTTCTGCCTCCAGGGGACTGTGGGGCCTTAGAGAACTACATACTCTCCCAGTTCCTTCACCCATAAAATAAGAGCACAGACCAGGTGAGTGCTGAAGCCCTCTCCAGCTTGGAAATCATGGAACTCTACAAAAGGATAACCACCAAATGTCCTCATGCTTTGTCAGAGTATTTTTGTCTCTCTCCAAATAATTAATGGATATTTCAAAGCTTAACACAGTTAGTAAAGATGGTAGTATCAACCACACAAACATGAGCTAATTCTATAACTGATCAGAAATTGATGTAGAGCTTTGAAGAGCATTTCTGATGATGGTGCTAACGACTCGGAGAACCAGCTACTGCTGGATGTTAAGGAGTCATTCCCTGCTTTCAGAGGCAGGGAAAGACTTCAGTTCCCCCCATCTCTACTCCAACAGAACAGTCCTGCTGTTTCCTGTTTTCTTCACTTAGGCCTTCCTCGGAGGTTCTGTTTGGACAGAGAGATGCATGGGGAGAATGGTGAGATGAGTGCTCCAGGGGTAAGAGATTGGAGCGGAAGAATGTAGGCTCTGCAGTCAGACACACAGGTAAAGCGCGGGCTCTAGCAATGAGCTGGTGACTTGAGCAGCCCAAATAGCGTCTCAAGGCCTGAGTTATCTCATCTGTACAGTAAGCCAACGTTCCCTTCCTTCCACGTTAGAAGATTATGTGAGGACTCACATACCTGGACACAAAGAACCTTAGAACAGTAGTGGATGACATTGACACCCCACCCCAATATGATGGGCATATCTTTATGAACCCTCTGGATTTCCAGAGTTTCCATGTCAAAGACAATGAGAGCAGGAGAAATAGCATCTATTCTATAAAATGTAGGTATACATGACGGTGAGAAATTCAGGATGGGCAGGAACCCAAGATACTATAAACAGTCTATTTGTTGTACTTTGGTTTGGTGACACGGGTTGTCTCTGGAATCTTTTAACAAAAAAAAAGGAGGCCAAGAAATAAATTATTTCTTTTGGACAAAATCACAAAAGCTGGAATAACTAAAGGCAGTCGTGAGCAATACATCAAATCGGTGCCTCCATTAGTAAAACTGTTAACACTTTAACTGCTACGAAGCGAATCACTCAATTAATTTCCCACATGCTGAAACAGGTAACAACACATTTATCTGCCAGTATTATACTCTCCATATCAAATATTTCCACAACTGTTAGCAATTTTATTCAGCATAACGGGAAATAAGTTGCACCTCATGGATTCAGGGAAAGAAAGTGGCCTGAGGTCTGCTGCCAGCTGAGCAACTCGACGGAAGAGGTTTCATTTTTCTGTTTTGGTTCTGTTTGTTTTTTCCTCTTTC